AGCGATGCCAAGTCGACTGGCGATACATCGAAGTGTTGAGATGTCTCTAACGCTGCAACAATGACCGTCCAAGTACAAACCCGGCAGACTAAGCATATCCACCTAAAGCGTGGTGTAAGACAAGGGGATGTTATATCCCCTAAATTATTTACAACTGTGTTGGAGGATATGTTTGGAATGCTGGATTGGAAAAAATACGGCATTAATGTCAACAGCGAGAATATCTCTCACTTCCGATTTATTGACGACATTGTCATCATGGCTGAATCGCTGCAGGATTTACAACAAATGCTGAACGGCCTGGCTCAGTCGTCTCAACGCATCGGTCTTCGGATGAATTTGGACAAAACCAAGATCATGTTCAATGATCGCATTCGTCCGGAACCAGTTGCCATTAATGGAGTTCCTCTCGAAGTTGTTCAGGAGTATATTTATCCAAGGCAAACGCTCCAACTAGGTAAAAACGTGGTTTAGACGTGGATTTTCGGCTCGCGAAAGTTTGTGTCATTTATATATAGACATAAATAGAACTAAAAACAATAGGAAACATTTTGCTGGTGATTTTTTTGGACATTGTCGGTGCTTTTAACAATATCAATCATAATATTATGTCTGACATTCTAGCTTCACTTGGAATATCAAATAAATTAGTACGCTGGATATTTAATTTTATGAATGGTCGTGAAGTATATGTGAAACTCACTAATAATACATGTCTTGGACCTCGGTTATTGCATACCGGAGTGTGTCAAGGCGGTATATTAAGCCCTCTTTTGTACATATTGTACGTTCATAGATTAAATGAAGTATTGGGTAAAGAAGTACATAATCTTCAATTTGCTGATGATTTAGCAATATATTGCTATGGAAATAATTTAATAGACATTAGTTCCAAAATAAACAATGCTCTACATAATCTATCCGTATATTTTTCATATCTTGATTTAGAAATTAGTCCTTCGAAAAGTAAAATGATTTTATTTGAGAATAGTAATCTTAATTTAGATATTTTAAACTTATCTGTTACATACAATGGATACAGTATACCAATAGAATCGGAAGTAAAATTTTTGGGCGTTTTATTCCAAAACAAAATGTGTTGGAAAAAATATGTAGATTGCTTAGCAGATGCCGAGCCATGATGTCAACTAATATTCTTAGATCATTAGTTGGCACTCGTTGGGGAGCAGATCCTAAAACTCTATTGATGTTATACAAATCGTTAGTTAGAACACATTTTGAATATGCTTTCTTTTGCTTTTGTGATAACAATGTTTATGTAGAAAAACTTGAAAAAATTCAAAATATAAATCTTAAATTAATTTTGGGTGCTATGAATACCTCACCTATAAATTCTATGCAAGTAGAGTGTTACTTATCACCATTAATATTATGATTTGAATTTTTAAAACTTACCTTTCTGTTGAAATTACATTCTGTAAATAAAAATACCTTGCTAATTAAACTACTGGATTCTTCATTTCCAAAAACTTTTCTTTCTGAAAAGGTTAGTGAATTTATTGATTGGGTCCGTAATTTTAATATCTATATTAAACCATCCCCGAGTTATTATGGATACTCATATGATGCCCTCTATTCTCAAATTTCTATAAATATTAATAAAACATTAAAAGATAAATATGACGTATATGAATACCTGTCGCGGTGGAACATATATAGGCAAATATACACCGACGGAGCAAAAAATAAAGAATATGTTTCCATTGCTATATATGATAGTACAGAACAAATGGCAAGTGGTACCAAAATTTCCAAAAATGCAAGTATATTTACGGCATAAGCTTATGCGATTATTAAGGCTTTAGACTACATTAAAAAGACTTTTGACTGTGACAAATAGTTAATTATAACAGATAGTATGAGTGTTTTGATGGCTCTTTTGAACGATTCCCATAATAAATTAACCGCTTCCTCTGTAATTCAAAATATTCGCAGTAAGATGCATGACCTGAAACATAAATTACATAAAGATATTATTCTAATTTGGGTTCCTTCCCATATTGGAGTAACTGGTAATGAGAAAGCAGATGAATTAGCTCGCTTAATAACTAACTGTCCTGTCAATCAAATAGAGAAGAGAATAAAAATTCCCGACAGAGACGTTATTATAAAAATAAAACAAAGGATTAAAAATCAGTAGACAAAACTTTGGAATGAATCTACTAAAATTAAAGGAAAATGGTTAAAAAAAATTCAACAGGATATTAAATCCCCATGGTTTACTAAAGGAAAAATTAAAATTAGAAGATTTTATACGACATTAAGTCGCTTAAGAATTGGACACGGACGATTTAATGAACACTTGTGTAGAATGAAAATGATATCTAGTCCAGTGTGCAATTATTGTTCAAGCGGAGAAGTACAGACTCTGGATCATCTACTCTTCGATTGTTAACAATTCAATATACAACGTTTAGCTCTAATTGACAAATTAATGTCCATTTACAAGGATCTGAATATCCCGCGCACTATTCAGACTTTACTTAAAAATCAAGAAACATACAAACCAATTTATGAATATATTGTCTCCACAGTAGAAGATATCTGAAGAAGGAAAAAAGAAATAAAAATATAGAAATTATACCAAAGACAACGGCTGTATGGCTCTTTGCCTTTCCGTTACGGATAAATAAAACAAAAAAAGAGTTATGATTTTTGCTTAAAGCTTTATTGACAGCCAATGAATGATACTGATTTGATGGAATGTGTACGGCGGTTGATATGACAATGAAAAATGACTTGGAATACTTGATGAAATTATGAGATGAATATGATAATATATGACGATCTATGTGATAATATGAAATATGATTTATTTATGGGGTTTGAGATGAATGATGGGAATCTGGACGAAGGACCATGAAGAATGTTGGGTAAAAAAGGGAAACTAAGGACCAACCTGGTTCGTGTCGTCTTATTATACGCGTAGCCGTTTCACTTTAAAAACGCACAATACTACGATGAATTTGACTGGATGATGTACTAATCAGATGATTCCGCGGAGATCGCGGCTGATGGTTTCGTTAACGTTGATTCGCGGAGAATGTGCTGATTTGCGTGTGATCGACGCGACGTACAACGAACGACTGATTTTGTTGATGCTACCCCCAGATTTGGTGGATAAAAATAGGAGTAGGATTTAGGGTAGTAACATATTGCAAGTTGACTAGCAATAAGTAGATTTATATCAACCAAACAGAATAGGTTCATTTATAGTATAAATAATTTAATTTATTCGTTGACATATCATTGTAATAACATATTTTATTTTGAAAGTAACAAATTTGTAACATATTATTATATGACTGGAAGTAATTTTTATCTTCCTAAAAAACAAAAGAAGACTATTGCTATTTTACTAGCGTATAACATTTATGATCCCATTATAAGTAGTATAACGGATTTAAATAGTAATATTAGTTGTTCAAAATCTACCCTGTATCATCGTAAGCACAGATATTATATTATATTAGAGTCCGTTAGTTTTCTGTTCCCGCGCGTTCCCTTCCCCTCCCTAACTAGTAACAAACGGACCGTACAGCGGCCTTGACGCGCGCGCGCATTGTGTTGTGAATTAAAATAAATTAGAACTGTGAAACCTACTGTGAAACTGGAAAGCTAGCGAAGATACCTTCGAGACCCTGAAGCCCAAGAAATCCGCAGAACCATAAAGGTAAATGACTGACGCTTCCTTATTTTTCCCTATATACCTATATACAGAGAGTAAATTCCCTAACATTTTGGTAGCAGAGTAGTTTCCCAAACATTTTGGTAGCAGAGCGTAGTTTGGAAACCTCTGATTACATTTGATCTGGCCTGTTCCGTACCCGGAACACCCTATTAATTGTTTATTCCAAATAAATCTGTGCTTAGTTTGCCATAAATTAAATTAATACTATTATACTTGTGATCGTGTTTAATCATCGTAAATTAAAAGTACTATTTGCGTATATAAACCTAGTATTTTGTTGAGTAGGTGTTTATTAATAATTAATACATTTTTTAATAAAAGTTATAAATGTATCATTGCATATTAGCGTAATGTATTGATATAAATTGAGTGAATTATCTCACGGTTACATCTACCTACTAAGTTGTCAATATAAAACGTCCCGTTAAAATTGTTTGCTTGGTACCTACATTCTTTTATTGATAACAACTTGTTATGATTTTAAACTGGTTTTCTGTATGCGAGAATATTGTGTTTATGGTACTTTGTATGCTCACTCTGTATTAAGTAATATTTAGGTACATTCTTGATTTGGTTGAAAATATAGTTATTGTATATATTATTATTATATTGATAATATAATAATAATTTTTATTATTATATTTTATTAGGCCTTTATAAATACTCGTGAGTTATATCTTTATATTTTATTAAATATTTCTTTGGTTTGTGGTAATTAATATTTCAAATAAAGATGTCGAATCCTAATGATACGGTGAAAGCGTGTTTATTCAGTGAGACTGTTGAGTATCGTCGGTCAATGGGTACTGTTCGATTAATCAGTGACTGGATTACGGATACTTATGCTTTGCTGCCTTCTGCGTCACGTGATAGGCTTATCGTGCGGCTTTCTGAATTGAATGAGAACTATGCTAAATTTAACACGTTTGCTGCGGATCGATTTTTCGTAGACTTCCAGCTAGTGCGTATGAGGTCTTTTCAAGACAAAGTTGACGAATCTTGCAGTGCGTATGGGACCTTTTGAGCCGCACAAAATCGTTTCTTAAAACATCTTTAATATTATACACAATTGTGACAGAAATTGCTTGAAACTTTACCATTAATAACTTAAAGAGTTGTTAAAATTGAATCCAGCTTCGCCCACAGTTATCATGACATTTAGGTATAGAATAAAGGAAAAAAAATTTGACACCTGTTCTGCCTCACATCGCATGGAAAGAAAGTTCTATTAGAGTCACGAGTAGTGTTGTGAATAAAAAAGAAACGCATATATCGATATTAAAACAATTTATTGATCAAAATGTTTTTCGTTAAAACAGGGCAAACAGAAGGATTTGTCACATTGGACACAAAAAGTAACAATTTTTTTGGTCTTTTTTGCAGCCTCGGAACTATTTAAAGTTAATCTCAATTTTTCATAACAACCTACGCAGCGCTTTCGTTTACCACCCTTTTGTAGTGCATGATCGGTACATCTGCCACCAGGCAAACCTGAAATAAATACTTATGTTAGTTGTACCTATTCCAAGTGTGTACATTTCTGTATGAATGTTAGCGTGTGTGTATACGCTTTTGTGTTAGTGGGTAGATTTGTAAGTATGTGCTTATAGGTATATGAAATTCATTTGTGTGTTTGTATGTGCGCATTTGTGTAGGTGTTAGTTGGTTGCAATGTGTGAGAGATAATGTGTGTATGTAATCTTACTCATTAATTATAACAGCTGTAGCCATTGAACGAGAATTCGCCGAAAATGAAGACGTACTTCATAACTCTGAAATTATAGACCGGAAATATTAACTAAACAGTAAATAAAAATACGGGTAAGTATATTAAGTTTAAAACCACATCCAATTTTTGTCACAATGCATTTGAGAAAACAAAAGTGCAAAGAAGTTAACAAAGCAAAATCGTTGTATAAAAATATGTCGGTCAAGTTTTGAATTAAAGCGGGTGCGAATGTTTTAGCAAAGAGATTACAACGTTCTCTGTAGAAAATCACTTAAGCATTTTGGAAAATCGCTATTGCAGAGAAAACACCGAATTGAAATTACCTTACAGTTTAAAGCAACACCATATCGAGTGATATCAAAACGTCTTCTTGTGTAGATAATTTGTTAGTGTAAATATATGCATGCAATGTATGCGTATTAGTATCAGTGCTGTGAAAATATAAGCTTGAGTACAATGGTAGCTTCAATATTTAGGCGGGTACATATTGGCACAATGTAACATGGAATGTATCATGCAATGCAAGAATTTGCCTATTGCTGCAATGTATCATGCAAGGTAACACACTCTGCAACAATTTCTCATAATCTGGACGTGATGCGCACGCCACGAGTAGGTATTACAAGCCGCATGCGGAGCGATCCATGATTTGTCGGTTTTTCGGACGAATACAAAGGGACGCGCAGTGTGCGCGACGCAGCAGCGTGGACAGTCGTTATGGGCAATCAAGACATGCATGCAACGAAACTCCAATGGAGAAAAGAACATGCGTTGGCGGCCCGTGTTCGCGGCAGAATTGCGGAAACAGACGTTCGCTAGAGGTTCGTAGTGAATGCGCGATCCGAGCACGCTACGCGTTCACGCTTGCATCGAACATACAATGTAAGGGTAAACTGTTACATGGCATGTTTTGCAGCAGTCTGTACCCGCCCTTAGAAGAGGTAAGAAAACGTCAAAGCAAATCATTATCACCAATAATAAATAAAAATGAGTCAATGTATGAAATAAGACCCTCCCTCTTTCAGAAATGCTTCGCCCAGTGAGCGCTTCAATTATTGATTCAGAAAAATCTTTCTTCGGCATTTTGTTTTCAGCATTGGACATATTATAAATAATCCATGCGTTCACAAGAGAAGTAAATAAAAATTAAAATAAAAATTAAAGAAATAAAAATTCTGCCATAACTTTTCTATACCATTTTAGGCCTCGTTTTAAAGTTGTGTAATATGAAGACATTTGGTCACTGTAATCAATACCTTTTTTGTTTTCATTATACATAAGAACGCATGAAGGCTTTTTAATATGTTCGTTAGTAGCTCTTGTTTTCTTGCCTGTGTTTACCAAAACAGCATTGTGACCTTTGCAGGTTGTGATCATTAAAACTTGGCGCTTATCACACCATTTTATAATTTTTACACCCTTTAAATTCATTTTTCCCATAGTGTGACCTTTTTTTAATTTAGTGGATATTACTTTCTTAGGTAATCCTCTACGATTCGATCGGAGGGTACCACAATAAAAAGTTTTCTGTTTTAAAAGTTCTTCAGCCAACCCAATAGAAGAGTAAAAATTGTCAGCAACAACAATACGACCCTCATTTTCTAACCCTTTAATGAGTCTCAAAACTGTCATTTTTCCATGATCTTGCTCTCGACGATTACCTTCCTTGCCTGTATAAATAATTGTATTATATGAGTATCCCTCAGGAGTACATAATTTATATAATTTTACTCCATACTTATGTGACTTATTTTTGATATATTGGCGGAATTTAAGTCGTCCACGCCACGGTATCATAGATTCATCAATGACTAAAATTTTTCCAGGACGAAGCACTTGTTGAAATCGAGAATTCAACATGTCATGTATTTGGCGAATTTTGTATAACTTATCCCCAGTATTATCAATTGATTCTTCGCAGAAATGCCAAAATCTGAATATAATCAAGAATCTGTCCCTGGATATTGTTGAGCAAATGTACTCATTCCTATATATTGATTTTTTAGACCAATAGTCGTTAATATGAGGTACTGTGTTTAGACCCATTACAAGTATGACTCCAAAAAATTTTCTTATTTCTTCATCATCCGTAGGTTTCCATGCTTTAAGACGAGATTTTGCCTTCACGTTATCTTGATTATCTTCAAAATACTTTGTCGCATAATTGTTTGTGTCTCGTACTATTTTATCAATAATTTCATCAGTTAGGAACAACCTGTATATATCTATAGGTGTTTTATTACATAAGCGAGGAATAATAGCACTATCAAACGCACTCTCTTCGAAATTAATACATACATCATCAGATATGTCAATCCAACTGTCGTCGTTATTGGTACTTTCTGTTTCAGCTATTTGATTGTCACTTTCCAGTTCACTTTCACTTGCTTCATTTTCATTTACTTCTACGTCGGTTGATTCTAAGCTTTCAATCGAAATGTCTGTGTCTTCGTATTCTTCATTAACATTGCTTCTAGCTTGTATTTTATTTTCACATTCAGTATACTTTTCTTCTTGTTGTTCATCGTAACTCTGTCTAACTTGTTCCTCTCCCTGCGCTAGATGTACTTCATTCTGGTCTTGATGTTTCTCCTCTTGTTCTTGTCGATCTTTTTCCTGCTCTTGGCGTTCTTCTTCTGGCTCTTGGCGTTCTTCATCCTGTTCTTGTTCTAGATGTTCTTGTAAGTGACTTTCTCCCTGTAATTTTTGTTCTAGAGAATGTATTTTTATGTTTATATCCTTGGTATGAAAATCTAGTATGCTATCATCATCTGTATTTTTATCTTCAAATGAGTGTATGAATTCATATTTTTTATTTTTTATCTCCTGTTTTTCTGATTTAGTACGATTTGACGAAGGTGTTTTTAGTAGTTCTTGCATATTTTCTTCAGTTAAGTTTACAGTTAACAGTTTAGAACATGAAATATTACTCAAAGAAGAACACCTGCTTGTTTCACCAAAAATATTCAAAGAATCAGGGGACGACGCCCGGCTCTGGTTGCAGTTACTCTTACGTTTAAATTTTTGAGTAGGTGTAAGCAAAATTGGGTTTAATTCTGAACTTTGTATTTCTATACTTTTGAGGACACTATATTGTTTACTAGTACTTGGACTAATGAAAAATTCGTTGTTTTGTTGTAATTTCCTGTATTTTTTAGAGGATGGACAAAAATCATTTTCAGAATCACTGTCGATCTCATTTTCTGACTTTGCAGTAGAGGGCGGGCAAATTTGAACATTTTTCAAAATGTTTACCTTATTCACAGTAGAATTTCTGGTTGGACTAATTCTTTGTAACACTTTTCTATATATTAACTGTTTCCTTTCATCCGCTCCACTTGACGAATCGGAATCACTTAACACGAGCTTCTTTTTGCAACGTTTACGGCTTGGTAGATCCATAATACAAAACTAGCTAGTTTAGGACACTAATAAATCGTAAAAAAGCGAGCGCGCCGGCCGGCCGCGGTAGCGTACTTCCGTATCGATACTTATCTCAGCACTAAGCTAGGCGGCGCGGGCGCCTCGACGCCCGCGCCTCACTCCGTGCGGCTGTGAGGCCTAAAATTTTTGAGACAGATTAGATCTCACTCCGCACTGTATGAAACTAATTAATACTCAGTGCGGTTGAGGCCTTTTCAACCTCAGTTTACTTTAAATTCGCTTTTAGACTTAGCTTTGTAAGAGAAGCTATTTTATATATTTGTCACTGTTATACTCATAAAAATGTTAACGTGGTCACCCCCCGCATAGAGTGAAGGAACGCGATTTTGACTCCCGCACCTGCGAGAAACCACGCATGTGGTTTGTTCGACCTCATAATGCAGTGAGCGTGTTAATGAAACGTGTTCTTGTCTCCTTGGCGGTTTGGACCCGGCGATTGATACGAAGGAGTATAAAGATACCCTAACCTTATCTAAGTCAATGCGGCCTATGGTAGATGAGTTGCGGCTTAGGTTTAGTGAGTTGCAGCCTGAATTGTTCCATGATCCCCCTACAGAGTCGAGTACTCCGAAGCGGCTTCCATTGATATCTTCCCCTCTAATGTGTATTAAAAATAAACTACCCGACTTACCTATTCATACCTTTAATGGCCAAAGCGGATCCTATTTGAGATTCGTCGACCAATTTGATAGTATTGTCGATTCCCGGCCTGACCTTAGCCCTACTAATAAGTTACAGTACCTTGTTGGTGCATTATCGGGTGAGCCTAAACGTCTACTATTACATTTACGTATTGAAGCAGAGAATTACCCTATCGCTCGTGATTTGTTAAAGCGGAGATATCATAATACGCGAATACTGGCGGATACATATATAACACAGATCATTACCTTACCTAACATACCCTCTAAATTGAATGGATTACGTGCTTCGTTTCTCAACCCATTGTTAACAGCTTATCGTTGTTTGGAACGCTTAGAGTTACCTGTGACTAGTTGGTCATATATGCTAGTGCACATATGCCTTAATAAGTTGCCCCTGGAGTTAAAGGCTCGTTTTGAGCGGCGTTACGGTGGTGATAGTGATCGACTGCCCCAGTTTGATCATATCATCACTTTTTTAGAGGATGAGTGCCGCCACCATGATAATGTAGGTGATGCAGCATTAGTAGATTCTGCCCCAACTTCCCGTACGTTTGAACGAAGACCTGAATAGTCGCATAACCAAGCAATCTAACCGCCCGCGTAGTGCCTACGTTTCCCAGGTACCAGTTTCCAATAAGAAGTGCCATATGTGTAATAGTGATTCCCATTATCTACGTGAATGTCCCCAATTTCGTGATATGAACCCACGTGACCGATCTTATTTTATTAAATCGTCTGGTCTGTGTTATCGATGTTTAGATAAACATTTGATAGCCAATTGATAGCCAATCGTGATTACAGGTGTGCTGTCTGTGCTCGGTCCTCCCATCACACCTTACTGTGTTTTAACAATTCTCGAGATCCTGTTCATCCTAACCATCAGAATCGAAATAATACAAATTATCGCAATGCTCTTGTGCATATTGCACCGCGTACATCACCTCCCCGCACGGGCGGGGGCCGTCCCCCTTATAACAGCCGTACTCCCTGTTGTGATTCGTCATCACCTGCACGTCCAGCTTCTCCTCCTACATACTCACGAGAAGATTATCGTCATACGTCCCCTCCCCCGCGGTCACTTCCCGAGATAAAACATACCATAAGTCACGTGACCTCCCCGACCGTTCTATGCATACCAACCATAGACGGAACTCGTCCCAATAACTAGGCACTGTATCCCCCCTGCTTTCTCACCACATATGTCTATTCCCTCCAATTCCCTAGTCCTCCTACCTACCGCCATTATTCATGTCAAATCGGCTTATGGTTATTTTATAGAGGCCCGTGCGTTATGTGATACAGACGCACAAGGTTGTCTGCTTACTACCGACTTAGCTGTTGAGAGATTGAATGTCCCCTTATCATCAAACTCAGTACCTATTCGCGGTATTGGCAACATTCAATCTGTATATTCCCGCGGGTCTATCTCCCTTACCTTTAAACCAGTTCATAGATCGTATCCTGTGATAACAACCCCTGCAGTGGTTGTTGATGTAATTGTAGGCCCCCATCCTGAGATTGAGTTGCCTAGGCCTGCTCGAGATTCCTGGGGCCGACAGCGGCGAAAAAGCCGACGCCTTGGCGTCGAAGCTCCGGGAATTCATCCCGGAGAATATGGCAAAAGTGGCAAGACCCGTCAAAACCGCAGAAATGCGTGTGATGGGCCTCGACGACTCTGCGACTACAGACGAGGTTGCAGCGGCAGTCGCGCGAGCTGGAGAGTGCCAGGCGGACGCAGTACGGGTCGGGGAGATTCGCCGCAACTCCTTCGGAATGGGGACCTGCTGGGTTCGCGGCCCATTGCTGGCCATCAAGAAGACGACTACTGCGAAACACATTCGCATCGGGTGGGTGTCGGCACATACGGAACTGCTGCGGCAAAGGCCGCTGCGATGCTTCCGGTGCCTGGAAGGACTTGTGAGCACTCAGTGCTCACAAACCCAGGATCGTAGCGGCCTTTGCTACCGTTGTGGGGAAGCAGGCCACCGTGCGGCAACCTGTACAGCCGATCCGCGGTGTGTTATATGTGCCACACTGGGTCGCCCAGCGAACCATTGGGTGGGTGCGAAATCTTGCACCCCGCCCAAAAATAAGAAAGGGAAAAGGCCAGCCACTCAGGCCCCAGGCCGAAGGAGCGAACAGGAGGAGGGGATGGAGACTGACCGTGAGCCCAGTCCCCCTCCTGGCGATCAGGGAGGTAGGGGCGGCAACATAGCCGTCTCTCGATCGCTACCGGGCCGGAGTGACGACCGCGGGGGCGGTCCCAACCCACCGAACTAGTCCCCGCGCGCCTTCCTCATGGAAGAGGAGGGGAAGTAGTGGGTTCCTTTAGGGAACCCGCAGAGATGGGGCCTGCTACTAGAGTGGGCCACCGCCGCCGGAGTTGCGGTTGACTGTCATCGATCTCGCGACTCCGGCATAGGCGTAGACATCTTGGAGTTTTTAGTGAGTAGGTCTCACAGTACCCGCGGGCTTCCCCCGAGGCCGGCGGGTCTCCATGAGGGATTTTCTCCAAGTCAAAAAAAAAAAAAAAAAAACGCCTGTCGTTAATAGTATTAATCACCTTTCCGTAGCGGACCCCTCCTTTTATAAACCAGGGCCTATTGAGGTATTGTTAGGTGTCGACGTGTTCGGTTATCTTATGCAACCTGAAAAATCGATTTCTCTTCCTCATGGTCTGACCGGCCATTCAACCGTTTTTGATTGTGTGTTGTCTGGACCTGTTGCTGGTAATTTCCCCGACCTTGAACCCCCTATGACTGGCATTTCTCTATCCCAGGTCGTAGAGAAATTTTGGAAAATTGAGGAACTGCCTCAAGTTCTCAATCCCAATCCTGAGGAGTTAGAGTGCGAACGTATTTTTAGGAATGGCATCACCCGTGAGAGTGACGGTCGTTTTATGGTCCGACTTCCGTTTATCTATTATCGTCCCCAGCGTGGTGAATACAAGTATACAGCGGTTAAGTGTTTCCTAAATTTAGAAAGACGTTTCAATGCCAACTCACAGCTTCGTGAAAAATGTATTATATTTATGCGTGAGTACATAGATCTTCACCATATGTCTCCCATTTCCTATAATCCATCATTACTTGAGCATTATTATATTCCCCATCACGGAGTGTTTAAGGCCGACGACCACTCTAAAATTCGTGTTGTTTTTAATGGAAGTAGTCCAAACTCTAATGGTATTTCATTAAACCAGTGTTTACACACAGGTCCCAAGCTCCGACGAGATATCACTCATATCCTTCTTAATTTCCGTAGACATGCTGTGGTCTTTGTGACAGACATAAAAATGATATTCCGGATGACCTGGGTGCACCCCAATGATCGTCGGTATCAGTTAATCTTGTGGCGTGAATCCCCATCTGCACTTCTTGTTACGTACGAGTTAGCTACAAATACTTACGGCCTACGGTCTAGTCCCTACATTTCCATTCGTACCCTTTTAGAGCTTGCTGAACGTGAGCGCTCATCATACCCACGAGCAGCTGCTGTTCTGGAAAATGATATTTATGTTGATGACTGCCTAACCGGAGCGAGTTCACTCGGTGAAGCTCAAATATTAAAAACAGAACTTCAGTCCCTAATGGCCTGTGGTGGTTATGAGTTGAGAAAATGGATCAGTAATGAACCCGAATTGCTCAAAGACATACCCCTCGAACATCTACAGGGTCCATATGAATTTCATGACCCAGATAACCCACCAACCATTCCTGTACTTGGTATTCAGTATAATCCGACTGCAGATTCCTTTACATGCAGTTTTTCCTTTAAGCCTCAGAAGTCCCTAACCAAGCGTACAGTTCTCTCCCTCATCGCTCGTATTTATGATCCATGTGGATGGATATCTCCAGTTGTATTTAAAGCCAAAGCGTTTATACAACGTCTATGGATGTCGGACCTCAACTGGGATGATCCTCTTAACCAATCCCTTTCTGATGAGTGGTTATTATTTGTACAAGACCTGGAGAATATTAAACAGCTGAGCATTCCTCGTCGGATATTGCCTGCGGATGCCACTTCCATTTCCTCACATCACAGCCTGCACGGCTTTTGTGATGCTTCGGAGGCTGGTTATGCAGCTGTTGTATACCTTAGGACTGAATCCTCTTCTGGCCATTGTTCCGTCCATCTCCTCATTTCTAAGAGTAAGATTGCTCCTATCCGTACTCGTCTCGCAATTCCAAGTTGGAATTGCAAGGAGCTGTGCTCCTCACAAAATTAATTCATCACGTTACCATCTGTCTACAGAAGGTAATCGTGTTGGATGCTATCCATAGTTGGACGGATAGCAAAATTGTGCTGGCATGGATAAAGACTCCTCCTCACCTGCTTCAAACATTTGAAGCAAACCGCGTGTCTCAAATCACCTCATCCGATTTCCCTTCCGAGTGGCATCATGTTCCTGGTTCTATTAACCCTAGCGATTGCGCTTTCCGAGGTCTTAGCGCATCGTCTCTTCTTAACCATGATCTATGGTGGTCTCCTTCCTGGTTGACAGAATCCCCTAATCATTGGCCTATTGGTGCAGACTTGCCAAACAATCCGATTGATTCTTTACCTGGCCTTCGTTGTTTGTTAATTGAAATACCTACGCTAGCTATGATCTCTCGTTTCTCCTCTACCGGTATAGTTCCTTAAATAAACTAGTCGGAGTGTTAGGCTTTATTCTGCGTTTTATTTATAATGTTAAATATGTTAATTTACGTGTTATTAATCCTTACCTTTCTATTGACGAACGACGTAATTCTTTGTTAATGCTTATTAGAGCAACCCAGTTACATGCATTTTCTAACGAGATAGAATCCTTAAAATGCGGTAATGTTATTAAATCCCCTTTAAAACGGCTGTCGTGTTTCCTAGATGAAAACGGTTTAGTCAGAGATACGATGCTCGTCACCCAATACTTTTACCTAAATCTGGCCCCCTTGTTAAATTAATAATTTCCCATTATTATATCGAAAATTCTCATGCTGGTCCTAATGCCTTACATGCTATCCTCATTCCCGTGAATACTGGATATTATCGGCCCGACGTGCTATTCAAAACATAATATTTCATTGTCTCAAGTGTTTAAAATCAATTATTACTAGGAAGCAAAAAATTGACTTATCAATAGAATTAAATAATTGTAAAGAAAAATATATAACAAAGATTTAGAAATAGATGAATTATCACAAAAAAAAAAAAAAAAATAAACTATTAGAGAACTCGTTGTCCAATTTATCTTTGAAATACTAATCAGCTAAGAATGAAATACATGAATATTCTGATCAGTTGGATAATTTAATAAAATTAGGTAACTACAACATGGAGCGGTTTGTTTCTCTTACGGATAGATGTCACTGTAATTCACCAGAGTCTGATAACTATATCCAACCGTCCCACCATAATCAGTTGAACATTGATATCTCATCCGTCACGGAGCCAGACGTTTCATGTTTACCCACACGAAACAGTACAAAAGTAAATAAATGCAGCACTGTACATGAAACCATCAGGAGAACAATTATTTATTCAGATGAATTTGGCAAGGATTTAGGTAGTATATTATCGAACTGCCTCTCGCAACAAGTAATAAATAATTGTTTTCCAGGATCAGGTATATATAAGATTATAAAAAAAAATATGATATTCACACGACCCTAGTAATAGCGTTAGGGAATTGTTTGCATATGCGTAAATCTGATATAGTTAATTTAATAAAATCATTATATAATATAGTGGAGCTTGGTATAGGTAAAATATTATTATGCGCATTTCCCTACTCTCAATCCCTGACTAATGAACAGAATAAGTTCATTTATAGTATAAATAATTTAATTTATTCGATGACATATCATTGTAATGATATATTTTATTTTGAAAGTAACAAATTTGTTACAAATTATTATATGACGGGAGGTAATTTGACCACATTTTTTGACCCGGGTTCGATTCCCACCATTGACTATTATTTTGGTTTTTAAATTTCTGGCACATTTTTTGTTGTTTTGTTTGTTTGTTCGTCTTTCCTTGTTTGTTTGTTTGCTTTCTTTTAATGGTATTTGTATATATAGTTAGGTTAGGTTCTGTACATAGTTAGGTTAAATTAGGTTAAGTTTGATGACCATGAAGAACCTGCGGGGCGCCCTTTTAACGGGCACTGACCTCGTGTGTTACGCGGATGACACCTTGGTCACTGCCAGGGGGCGGGACCTACGGGAGGCTACCCGCTTTGCCACGGCAAGCGTGGCGCTGGTCGTCGGCCGAATAAGGAGGCTTGGGCTCCAGGTGGCGCTGGCGAAGACCGAGGTGCGTTGTTTTCATGGACCTCGGCGCGCGCGCCCTCCGGATGCCAGCTGGTCGTCAGTGGCCAGAGGGTGGGGGTCAAGCCCTGTGTGGGTATTTGGGGCTTGACCTGGACAGTCGTTGGAGCTTCCGCGCTCATTTCCGGAACTGGTCCCTCGCCTTATGGCGGCCGCCGGCGCTCTTAGCTGGCTGCTGCCAAACGTGAGGGGCCCGGGAGGCCCGGTGAGGGGCCCGGGCCCGCCGCCTATACCTCGGCGTGGTGCGGTCCATGGCCCTGTACGGGGCCCCCATCTGGGTGGGGGCCCTAGGTAGGGAAAATGTGGCCTGCCTTAACAGGCCACACAGGGCCATGGCCATCAGGGCCATTAGAGGCTACCGCACCATATCCGGGAAAC